GGGAGTACAAGGGGCTGATCTCGGGGCTCAGGGTATCTGAACACTCAGCCCAACTCTAAGGCAAACTGCACGGCGTCTGAACCTCTGCCGTCCCTTCTGCAAGGGAACACCCGGTAAATGCTCAGGTAATCAAGGACACTGCCCTGATAAGCGGGTCCTGAGGGTTTCCCTCAGGAATTTGAACAGGAAACCATGACAGAGAAGAGCTGGGACCTGGAGCTCAAATGAGGATGAGGGGAGGAACAGCTGTGTCCCCGAGCAGTCTATACTAAACAGATTGTGAGGACATGAATTAGGCCATTGGTTCAGCACATACCTATGTGTCAATACATTATTTTACTTTTAAGAAACAGACATTTTATAGTTTAGGAAGCCACTCAAAACATTAGGTAACTTGCCCAAGAACCCACAGCTATAAAATTACAAAAGAACCAAACCCAGGTCTAACTGTAAAGACAGAGCTTTTAACACCACCACCACATGTGGCTGACTTTCTAAGCAGAAAGTGCAAGGCACAGAAGAGACAAGAGGAGGAGCAGGAGCAGGAGCGCGGGAGGAGAACGCAGATGCAGCAGCGAGCTGCAGCTCAGAGCTACCGGACTGCGGGCTCTGCCCCGGCAGCCCTCCCAAAGGTTTGTCTCCGTTACCAGGAGCGTGCGAAAGTCCCCAGGTCACCTGAGAGTGTTCCCAATAGTGGAAAAAGCTAACCCCCGTGTCTTGAGATAATTCTTAGATGAAAATTCAAAAATTCTGTTTTCTGCAAACGTTCAACTAGGAACTTGAAACGTTTCTTTAAGGGTACCAATTCCTTTGAAAAGTTTAGATACATAACATGAATTTCAACTAAAATAAAGGAACTTGGGATATCGTGCAGCCTCCTGATTCTTTATGGCTCAACAATAGACACTTAAAATTCATGCTCAAGAATCCCATACAGTTAGCACCATGGTGGAGAAGAGCCCTTTGTATCTCCCCTTAAATCACCTGCTTGGCCATCCATAGCCCATCAGCTTCCTGTGCTCAACACCAGCACACCCGAGAAGTCCACACACAAACTACGCTGGGGAGGCAGGATGGTGGGAAGGACCCGCAGCCCAGCCAACACAGTAGAGGTGGAGGAGTCGGAGCGCAGCCCCCGCACGATGGTCTGGACAGGGTAAGGGACACTGGCGCCCGGAAACCTGGCTCTCCCCACTCACATTCTCCCACTGCAGTTGTGCTGCCTTGAGACTCGGGCAACCCAGACACAGCAGGGACACCCCACGGCCACTGCCAGGGCACAAGCACCACAGGTAAGAGAAAACAAAGACTTGTGCTCAATAGAGCGCATCTACTGAAAAATGAACGAAAGACCTCTAAGTATCATCCTGAAATAAGAAAGGTGCTCACTACTTCAAATGAACAAACATTATCAGTAACATGAACAACCAAGGGAACACAAAATGACAATTCTTCATAAGTCAAAGTCATGGGAGACTGATCTAAATGACGGAGTATTCACAATCAGGAGAAAGTGAGATCCAAGGAAACTCAGGCAGTTCAATGAGCTCAGGAACAAAATCAAGGAATAGGAACGCTACCAAAGACATTGAAACAATGAAGAACCAAATTCTGGAGCTGAAGAATTCAGTAAGTGAGATAAATGCATTAGAAAGCATTGTGAACAGAGCTGACAATATGGGAGAGAATTAATGAACTAAACCATTCATTCTAAACACCCCCACACCTTGTATTCATTTTGCACAATATGGAGCCTGCCATACTGAATAACGGACACCACACATCATTTTGTCACCCATACATTTTGAAAACAGAGGCTGTTTTGAAATTTTTAATACCTTTATTACATCCAGCGCAGTGCTCTGCATACAACAGGAACTCTGATATTGCTTACCACATAACTTCAGCATAAACAGACTAGTTTCAGTATAATTTCTCTTAATGATAAACAGCTAAAAAGGAAAACATAAAACACCAAGTTACTTGTTCAACCACCATTTACTGATGGCCCCTTTATGCTAGCTCTACACTGAGAACCACAGACGAGATGGGGGAGACCTGTGTCCCCTCCTCACCCCACCAATCAGCTCAGCCCCAAGTATGGCCATTGCACCATGGACCTTTGGAGGCCTTCTAGAAGACACAGGTTATCTGCAGATCCTTAGCAAGCAAGGAATGGCTCAGACTAAGTTTTGCACATATCTGTACAATCTTATACGTCAAATGTATGCTTATACTATGGTGTTTTAATACGCACCTTTATTTAAAAACATTACTGAATGCATAGTAGCTATCAGTCATCACATACTTTCCCAAGCAGAAGATACTGATTGGGTAGGGGTTTAAACAAAATAAACATTTTAAGAAATACACATGAAAACACTAAACCTCATGTGAAAATTTTAAGAAAATTGAAAGCTTTAAGAGCCAAGAACGCATTTGGGAAAAGACTGTTATAGGAATCTTCAAAGAATTACTAGCACCTCTAAACCTGTACATCAGGTACAAATGTATTTCCCAGGTTTGCAAAGGACATAAAATATTTACTTATTTTATACATAGAGTCATTGTGAACCATTACATTTACAGAGTAACAAATATTGAACAGGAACCAGATTTCTTTTCATTAAGGCTTGCCAAAATTTTCTCTCCAAGGACCTTTACCCTCAAGCAGAGGCGATAACCCCCTACAACTGAAGAGTTGGGCCTAGAGCTCCAATGGGCTGCTCCATGCTCAACAATTCTTTGAAGTCTCCTGTTGTTATCTTAAAAATTTTGCATTGTTTCATAATATATCTAATGACTTATTTAAATGTGGTCTTCTAAATTATTTCCTAAAATTCTTCTAGAAAATTAAATTTAAGGAATATGAGGGGGGACACCCCCCCCCCCCCAAGAACCGGAATTATCTTCTGGAGGGCAGGCCCTTTGTAGTACAGGCTTCCCCCACTAGGTGAGTGTTCTGGGAACCCATCTGTATCACTGTACCAGCTGGTGTTGTAGTGAGAGGTTGCATTTGGCTTCACTTTATCTTTTTTGGAAGACTGTCAACACGTTTGCCCATTTCATGATGGGTGATTTATGAGCACACCTGCCCAGACTGTGCAGAGTGTCCAGCAGTTTTTGACCAAAAACCTCATGACGTCAGTGCCCCACCTTTTGTATCTACCTGATCTTGCCCCAACTGACTTCTGTTTTCCCTGGATGAAATCAGTCCTCAAAGGGAAACATTTTGCTGATATGAAGAGGTGAAACAAAAAAGAAACACTTAAAAGGCATCAAAATCGACGAGTTCAAAAAATTTTGAGCAGTGGAAAAAAGTCTCAAGTGTATTGTATCAAATGGAGAGTACTTTGAAGGTGACTGAAGTTTAAACATAATAATACACAATTTTTTTTATAAATTCTTTTTTAGGTCCCCCCTTGTATAGGTCATACTTAAAAAGCAGAGCTATAGACAGTGATTCCCACATATATGTAACAAAAAAACAAAACAGTTCAATGGGTGTATTATATGTGTTAGGCAGGAAATGGGAGCAACGCTGAGATGTCTCCCCCTGCGAACAGAAAGAAGACAATCCTTTGACTATTAATAGGAAACATAGTGGGTCAGAGCAAAAGCAATCAGACAGGCAGATGGAGCCCAGGCCAGTTCAAACGAGACAAGGCTGAAGGTACTGACATATCTACTGGAAGTGCCACTCAGAAGCTGATGTGGAGAAGCAGCTACTGGCAGAGACCCTCCAGCATTGTCCATGGGAAGAAGGAACCCTGCTCCATAAACATGAGTATCAGCAGGTATGGCTCACAGGGCGATGGATGCATGAGGCAACTTGCTTCCCTTGCTCAAACTCCGTGCTCACCAAGTAACCAGCTGAAGATCTGCCAAGATCTGCCTAAGGGAGAGAATGATTGACAGTTATATTTCCCATCATAAATGTAAATACTAACACTTTTTTAAAACATCAGTTACTGTGAGCTTTGTTAATGTGAGTTTCCTATGAGATAGTTCCACCCTCCATGTGCTGACACATTTGGTCAATGAAGCCTGTAAAGATCTTTATCGGACTCTGGATGCATCCAATTTGCCAAGGTGATGCCGCCGCATATAAGGGGCAGCAGGCTTTCCCCAGGAACACTCAGCTCTGCTACCGTCAGACTCCTGTACCCACACTGTCCAGTATGGTAGCTACAAGCGAGCCACGTGTGGATACTGGGCAGTTGAAATGTGGCTAGTACGACTTGAGATGTGCTGCAAGTGTAAAATACATACCACATTCCAAGACTTGTACCAAAAAACGTTCGAACATCCCAATTGTTTTTTATAATGACTACCTATTGAAATGATGAAGTATATATACATTTATTGAACTAAATGATATTTTCCTTTTTTTAAATGTGGCTACTAGTAAATTGCAAACCACTGACATGGCTAGCATTATATGTCTACTGGATGTTACTCTTCTACAATAATGACAATGTGTTGGATTTCAAAGTCTGCACTGCATCCCTTCTAATGAATTGGACTTGGGAAGATACAGAAGAGGCCCAGTGGTACCTTTCTTACACTAGTATCAATCAAGTAAAATTAAGTGGCAATTTCTTATTACTTTAAAAAGGCCAATACAAGTAGTACTGTAGTACCTGCAAGAGGTGCTGAGTCTTACGCAGTTTACAACTGTGGGAACAAAAGGCTGGCGGGTCAAGAGGCCTGGGCACAAGGCTGACCTCTGAGCAAACTAGGTAACCAGGGGGTCAGCCTGCTCACTGGTGAGGTACAGGCCATCGCTAGGATTGTGCCTGCACCCAGCTTTGCCTGAATAAATATCTGAGGAGTGAATGCTACAGCCAAAAAGCTACATCTTTGATTTCCTAGAAATTTAGCATTATGATTTACAAAGGATTAATTATAAGGTAGATATCAAAGATAAAAATGTGAAAAGATAAGTTTTTATTTATCAAAAGTTAACAGCAACAGGCACATATTAAAATGAGTATGGCAAAGCCTTTTACAAATGGCTTTACACTCAAGCTTTCTCCCAAGAAAATGGCTGTTGCAACAAACTGTAAACATAATTAATAAACAGTCTTTTACAGTAACAAGGGAAATACAATTGAACTAAAGGAAAGCACTGGTTTCTCTTAAAACTAGATTACAGTTGTGCTTACTATACATAAAACAATTTAAAACAAATTACAAAAGTGGAATGTTTTAAGTTTAAAATTAGTCCTTAGATTTTGTCCTAGAAAACATCTGTTCACATCAAAAGGCCCATCAAAGGGTATCGGTTCATCAAAAGGTGGGGGATGGGGAGGGGGGAGACAAGAAAACAATGTACTTTTTTCAAATCGAAACAAGAAGTTTGGTCACTTAGCTTTGTGCATAGTTTAAGGCAACTGGAGCATCGGTTACAGCTTACCTACCTCCCCTCCCCTAAGTGTGGCTGCTCATTACATCACATTCCAAGATAATAAATAAAAGCTTACATTTCCAATCCTTTCCCACATGGATAAATAGAACACATGCACAGTCACACATGCACAACATGCACACAGACACACATCCGGCCACTCACACACAACATACCTCTCACTCACTGCAGCGAAAGGGACTTAGTACCCTTGCTCTGAAGGACACACTTCCCCATCCCACTTTATTTCAGATTGGCAAATACCCTGAGCTGATTATGGTGTTTTAAACATTCCACCTTTTCTTGCATGTGCAGGTCAAGTGTACAGTAGTGAAAACAACATGCAATGTCTTCACTGCAGAATCATAATACAGCTAGGACATTGGTGTTCTTTCCCTCCCGCCCCAAATTAAAAACTAAGAGTTAAAAAAAATTGCACTGCCAAACAGCACTGGAGGGAAAGCTTGGCGGTACTCTATGATAATGCACAGTTTCCAGTGCACAAAGTAAAACTATAGCAAATGGGAGGCTTTGGTGGCATCCAAAGAAGAAAAAAGGCAAACCGGGGGAAGGAGCTGCAGTTTAAAGTTTGATCTATGAAATTCTTAGTGGTTCCTTCACAATTGTGCTCCAAGGCAAATTTAGAACCAGTATTTCAGAGCTGATTTGTAAACATCGAGTCTTGCCGGAGGCAGCAGAGGCGGGGCGCTTCACATTCCCAATTTCTCAGTGAGAACCTAGTGGAAGGTACAGATACACAATGTTGCATCGGACTGGTTAAATTCCAAGAGATTTCTGCTGAAAGATTCAGTTCAAGTTTCACTGTTCGAAGAATAAATGCTTTGGGAAGCACGTGGCACTCCCCACAGCTTCCTTTGTCACTCCTGCCAGATTTGCTCCTGCTGGGCTTTGCAGATTCAAGGTTTCCCGTGAGAGCCCAATCCATATTGCTGTATGTTCAGGTCTTGTAATTAAAAAGGGGGTTCAAATAATCCGACAGAGGAAATCCTGGGCGTAAATAATGCTGGCATCACTCACTGGAAACCTTGGCGGTCAGGAGTAAGTTCTCTCACCTCCAGCCCCAATTTCACATGTCCAGCAGCCTCCCAGAGGCAGTCTGTCCACTGATTCTGGAGCTAGGAGAGCCGGTTTTCCTGAGGTAATAACTGTGAGTTCAACTCCTCAAACGGAGCTTCGGTGTCCTCACTGCTGGACTGTTCTCTCTGCAGTCCCTTCCAACTGGCTTTATTCAGCCCCACGTGTCCGAGCATTGTCTGGGAGAGCCTAGTATTGGAAAACCTGGCCCATTCCGTGAATAGAGGCTCCACTAGATAAGTCATAAAACCTTGAGAAAATAAGAGAAAAATGATATCAACATATGTTCTAAAACTTAATCTTTAAAATGCCTCTACAGTGTTTCCTCCCAAGTCCTATTCCAGTATTACCTAAACCTTGTTTTTCTAAAGATTCTAGCATGTGTACATTTACAAATCTTCTCTGAAGAATCTATTCAGAACTTACAGGTGTACTGACAAACATATCGAATCTTTTCTGATAATTCCTCGCAGCTGCTCAACAATGCCCTTTTACTGACGCAAACGCACAGTGACCCTGTCAACTCTGAGGACAGCAGGGCTTAACACAATTCACGAGACAGCCGGAGGCTCTAGAAGGGGGCCTGCGCCAGGCCTCTGGGGACAGGTGTGAGCTGAGGAGAAGCTGGGGTCGCCCTCACGCCCAGTCATAAGTACAACAAGCCATCGTATTTAACTCAGAGTTTATAAGCCAAAACTCCTGACAAAACTATGGCTCTGCAAAGACCAGAGGGGATTAGTTAAAACAATTATTAATGTGAACATCGGAAGTGTACCAGGGTCCTACTTTATAAACAGCTCATATATTGCTCTCCCTTAATTCACAGAAAGGAAAAAGGAGTAATTTCAGGACTGTGTGCACCTTTATACAGCCCTCAAGTGCACATTATATCTGATTTAACATCAGAAAGCATCTTACACAGGGTGAACGGGAGCTTCCTAGAAAATACCTTCCCAATGAAACCTTATATATTAGGAGAAACAAATAACATTATCTTCCTAATTTTTGGTCTGCCAAGGACAGGAAAAATGTCCATTCAAATTCTATCACTGGTGGTGTAAACTAGTGTTTAAATTTTCTACATCTCCAAAATCTGTTCTTTGCTGCAAAAGCCCATGTTGACCACAGACAAGACAGCTTCCACTCAGCCCACAAATCTCACTGTGATGAAAGCAGTCGGCACGCACTTCTTTTCATTAGGAGAGTCACACAGGGTCTGATGGTTGGGTTTTGGAAGTGTACAAATTACAGAATCTGAAATAGTAGTTAGGATGTCAGAAGTAATGCTTGCTTTCATTTTGCCCATTCCCTCCACACGCATTAGCCAAGAGCCTGCTATATGCCACCACTGTTGGCCAGGGACAGATCTATGCTCCAGGGAGAAGGACAAACACAGAAAAATGTCATTACAGCCGCCAAACACAGCTTTTTGGGAGCCGTCCTCACACCAATGTCAGGCTGCACCAGCCACCCAAAGTCCTGTCTTTTCTAGGTGCCACAACTAAAGCGTGAGCAGCTAGGATTTTGTACCCGAATGCAGAACTTCATTATCCTGTTTTACGTGATCATCTTATTTGACTTTCCCATTGTTCCTGCCTCTAACATCTAACAAATTAACTATCACTTCTGGCTCTATGTTATCCTAAACTTTCTTTAGGACTCAAGTACCGGAAAAAATAAATAGGCCGGGGCCACGGTCACAGCCATGCAGCCCCCGCTGGGAGGGCCGGACTCCAAAGGCCGAGCAACCACCTGTGACTCCACTGAGCTGCACCCGCCCCTGAGCTCAGCTCAAGCTCGGCTCCACAGGTCCCAGCACCTCGCCAAATGCCTTGCTCTTGCCAGCATGTGATATTCTTGTTCAACAAAACTAGTATTCCTGCCCAACATGGAAACTATTAATTAAACATGACTTCTGCCCTGGCTGGGTAGCTCGGCTGGTTAGAGCGTTGTCCGGTTCCACCAAGGCTGCGGGTTCCATCCCTGGTCAGGGCACATATAAGAATCAACCACGGAATGAATAAATAAGTAGAACAACAAATCAACATCTCTCTTTCTCCTTCCCTTCTTCTCTGTAAAAAAATCAATCAATAAACATGACCTCTACTTACTATGCTGGCTCTGAGTAATCACTGCTCAGCACAGAAGTTATTCTAACCATTACATGATTTATCCGAGAAATAGAAACTTTCCAAGCCCCATTTTACCTAGGATTTCATATCAGAAAGACCAACACCTGTTAACTGTAACTGGGCAAACTATCTGAAAAAGAGAATACCAGCAGTACTTGGTTGTGAGCAATCAGTAGATGTCAACTATTATCCTCATGTCCTTCTGATAATACATCTAGAACTTTCCAACATTGACAAAATACAGACTGAGGTGAAGTTTAAGGTATCTACCTTCTAGATTTCCTTTTTAAATATCGCAAGTTCTCCCATTAATCTAGGGTGCCATTTGCTCAGGCAAAGACATCTACAATAGCTTGAATGAGTTCACTACCCATTCACCTAGCTTCAATTCCCTTTTGCTTATATTTAGTCTATTCTTTTACATTTGAAGATATTCTAACTTGACAATTGGGACAGAGCAGATCTACGTCCTGTCTTATCCTTCTGCGAACCTCCACAGCTTTCATGGCCAGTCTGGGGAGATCTAGGTCCCCGGGTCGTTTCTGCAGGCCTGTGCCACACTCTTCCCATAGTCCGGTCCGTGGTTACCCGCTGTCTTTCACATGCGTCTCATTGCGACTACTGTAAGAATTGTGTCTCTCAATTTCTGAATCTGCAGTACAGGCCTCTTTTCAGACTCATATGCCACAGCATTGTGCTACTTTCTGAATTTCTACAAACTATCTTTCTGAAGTTTGTGAACACATTTCACTATGTTCAATCCAATTCTCAAAGGCTCTACTCAGCACGAGCTACCAACATAACAGTCATCCCTCGACACCTTGCTGAGTTACTCACCACTGTCCCCGCTTTGCACTCAGACCCCCACACACCCGACCCTTGCCAGTCTTTCCCGGGCTCTTCTGCAGCAAGCTGCATGGCCTCCAATCACAGCCACTTCATTATGCTTTCTCTTCCAGTTATGGAAACAAGTGGTTCTTGAGTACCTGCTGCTCCCAGGTGCAGCATTGACCTCAGGAACACATCACTGAGGCCAGAAGGGCCCTGGGAGCCGGGAGAGGACTGACTGCCTGGGGCGAGTGGAAGGTGGCTTCTGGAGGGCGTGACAAGCACCAGGAGTTTGTGAGGCAGACGGGGAGGACTGGTGAGGCAGAGAGAGGGAAGGAGCAGCGTGGACGTGGGGAACACTCAAGGGTCCCAAGCTTCTTTAGGTAAAATGGGAAATCGTTGGGGAGAAGACTGAAGGGACAATTCGAGGCTAGATTTCAAGAAGCCTATGCAAGATGAGGAGGAAATATACTTAGCCAAGAGGCAGTGATAAAAGAGTAAGCAACAGTGCAAACTGGTCTTCACGTTTATTCATGCTCAGTGGTCACTTTTTTCATGTTAAAAATGGCAGTCCCAGAATTATGCAAAGAAGTTCCCACATGAGCAAATAATGTTTTTTTTTTTTTTAGTTTTACAACAAAAACAAAATTATTGTTACACACTCTGAAAAAATTATGCTTTTTACAACCTAAAGTCAAATAAAGGTAAATCATAAGAGCCAAAAAAAGGAAAAACAAAGTTAAAATTTCAAATTATTTAAAAAATAAAAAGGAACATAATTTTAATATTTTATATTTGAAATGTATATCTCTTTTTCTTAACAAAGTTAAAATCAGTGGCATTTTTCTAACCAATCTTTATCTATGTATAGTTACCTATCTGGATGTTGGCAATAGATTCAGTTTGACGATCACAAAATGGACTCACACCCAACTGATACTTCTTTTCTATATCTCCTAGAAATTAAAAAAAAAAAAAAAAGACAGAACTATTAATATGGAACATACCTACTGGTTAAGTATTGGTTAAATAACCTGTTGGTTAAAGTCTTCATCTTACCTGTAAATTCCTTAGGAAAAAGGTACCATATTTAATTCTCATGAAAGGAAAACTTCTAAATTAGTTCTTTAAGTTATTACACACAAAGAATTTCAGACTTCCTGCCAAGATGGAGGTGTAGGTAGATACACTTTGCCTCCTCGCACAACCAAAAGAAGGACAATAACAAATTTAAAAACAAAACTGCCAGAAAAAAGAACAGTATTGAAGTCTGACAACTAAGGCGTTAGGGAAGAAATAGTCATCCAGACTGGTAGGTGCGGTGGAGGCAGGCAGCTGGGGCAGGGAGGACGCTGGCAAGGCAGCAGCTGGTGGACTGGGCAGTCCCCCATTTGCATGCAGATAAACTGGGAGGAACAGCTGGGGAGCGAGGCAGACTGCGCAACCCAGGGTTCCAGCGTGGTTCCAGCAGGGGAAAAGAAAGCCTCAAAACCTCTAGCTGTAAAAATCTGTGGGGGTTGCAGCAGCAAGAGAAACTCCCAGCCTCACAGAAGAGTTCGTCGGAGAGGCCCACAGGGTCCTAGAATGTTCACAAACCCACCCACCTGGGAATCAGCACTAGAAGGGCCCAATTTGCTTGTGGGTAGCGGGGGAAGTGACTGAAAGCTCGCGGAGAACTGAGCAAGCAGTATGTTCTCTCTCGGACCCCTCCCCCATATACAGCGCCACAAACCAGCCACGCGGGTTGCTCTGCATTGGCAAATATCTACAGCTCTGCCCCTTCCAACCTAACTGGCGTGCTGAGACAAAGAAATACCGCCTAAATGAAAGAACAGATCAAAACTCCAAAAATAGGACTAAGGCATGAGGAGAGAGCCAACCTATCAGACACAGAGTTCAAAACACTGGTAATCAGGATGCTCACAGAAAAGGTTGACTATGGTTGCAAAATGGAGGAAAAAGTGAAGACTATGCAAAGTGAATAAAGAAAAATATACAGGGAATCAACAGTAAAGGGACAGAAACCAGGACTCAAATCAATGATTGGGGGCAGAAGGAAGAGATAAACATTCAAGCAGAACAGAATGAAGAAACAAGAATTCAAAAAAATGAGGAGAGGCTTAAGAAACTCTGGGACAATTTTAAACGATCCAACATCTGAATCATAGTGGTGCCAGAAGAAGAAGAGGAAGAGCAAGAAGTGGAAAACTTACTTGAACAAATAGTGAAGGAGAATTTCCCCTATCTGGCCAAGGACATAGACTTCTAGGAGATCCAGGAAGCTTAGAGAGTCCCAAAGAAGTTGGACCCAAGGAAGCACACACCAAAGCACATCATAATTACATTACCCAATATTAAAGATAGGAGAGAATCTTAAAAGCAGCAAGAGAAAAGGAGACAGTTACCTACAAAGGAGTTCCCATAAGACTATCAGCTGAGTTCTCAAAAAAAACTTTACAGGCAAGAAGGGGCTGGCAAGAAGTATGCAAAGTCATGAAAGACAAGGACCTACACCCAAGATTACTCGATCCAGCAAAGCTATCATTTAGAATGGAAGGGAAAATAAAGTGCTTCCTAGATAAGGTTAAGTTAAAGGAGTCCATCATCACCAAGCCCTTATTATTTGAAATGTTAAAGGGATTTATCTAAGAAAAAGAAGAAGATCAAAAACTATGAACAGTAAAATGACAACAAACTCACAACTCTCAACAACTGAACCTAAAATCAATCAATCAATCAATCAATCAATCAATCTAAGTACTCAACTAGAACAGGAACAGAACCACAGAAATGGAGATCAGTTGGGAGGGGGTAGGGGGAGAATGGGGGAAAAGGTACAGGGAATTAGAAGCATAAATAGTAGGTACAAAATAGGCAGGGGCAGGTTAAGAATAGTATAGGAAATGGAGAAGCCAAAAAACCTGTATGTACAGCTCATGGACATGAACTAAGGGTGGGAGGGAAATGCTGGTTTGAGGGAAGCGCAGGGAGGAGGAGGATAAAGGGGAGAAAAAAATGGGGCAAATGTAATAGCATAATCAATAAAATATATACATATATATATGAAAAAAAGTAATTTATTCACACACAGAAAAAGTTGCCAAGCTGATATCCTCTTTTCAGTGTAGGAGGTAGAAAACTTTTACTAGGTGTTTTACCTCAACACTGTCACCATTTTAATTTAAATCTTAAAAAGGAAGATGCATAAAATGAAGAACCTTGGTTCCTGACTTTAAATCACAAAAATGTATTACGTGTTCATATGGCCATGCCCTACACACAGGACAAGGATGGGTAAGGTCAGGGAGATCTTTCTATTCAGCCAAATTTCCAGCCTGATCTGTGTCTATTCATAAATGCACGCACATTTGACGATTCCAAGAGAATTGCTAATTTTCAAAATAGATGCTCAACTTATATACCATTTGTTTTATGTATATCTACTATAAACTGTCACTAAAAATATCAATATCTACCACTAGACTCTTATACATGTGTGAGTGATTTTATCCATGTGATATGTAAAAAATCAACTGAAAAGATTAATTAACTCAATACTGGAACTTGCCTTGATGGAAGAATTCCTCTGTTACTTTTTCACTCCACTGCTTGCTTAATTCCCACGTCCGACATGGGTTACAAATATCAGCACATTTCAAAGCCATCTAGCAAGCAAAACATTAACATTGTTTTAAGAAAAAAAGTAAAATTTCAATTGTATTAAGCTTAAACCTTCTCTAACAGCGGTAAAAGGAACACCTTTTAAAAAAAGAAAATACAACAGAAAACTCATTTTTATATTAGTTTTATGATTCTATTAGGTCTACCAATCATTTCTCCAGAAATGCTGCCAGACTATGAACCTAATTGTATAACCAAGCACAAGACCTGGATTAACCATAAAACTACAAAGAAATCACTCAATTCCCTGTCATTTTTTAGATGTGAGAACTTATTAAAATAAAATGCTGTTAGCTGATGGCATCCTAATCTTGCAAAAATCGTTTTTGCTGGAAATCTCAAGTGTGAATAACACCAAAGCAACGGGGTGGGCTCTCTTTCCAGGAAGGAAACCCCCAGCTTTCTCTCCGGATTTAACCACGCTCATCACTACACTAGAATATTTCATTTTTATTCTAATAGACACATAAAATTTAACTTAGAGACAGAATCTTTCCAAGCCCCACTTTACCTGTAAAACCAAATGCCTATGTCTGGCATCTTCAAGGCATAAGTCACCTCTATCCAAATGGGACCTAAACAATGACAGATACTCATTTTGGCGACTGATGTCTGTGGCTAGTATCAAAGCACCTATCTGAGTCTCCATTTGTTTCCTGTAATTAGAAAAACATAAAGAGAAAATACAAGACTTTCAATTAAGCAGCTACGTCTTGATTTTTTTTAAAACTTAATATTCAGAAGCTTCACAGAGCCCTAATATACTCTGCCATTCAACTTTTAATCTGTCACAAAAAATTAATTTTAAAGAATGCATCAAAGAACAAAACTCTCTAAAATAATCAGAACTAAAGCGAAGAAAGTTTATAGAAAAATACCAATATGCAAATATCCCAGGGATCTAATATTCAACCAGGGATCGAAACCACAACCTTGGTATATCTGGACAATGTTCTTAACCAACTGAGCCATGCTGGCCAGGGCCCAAAATAGATTTTTAATGAATCTTTTGATTATACAGAATGTTTACTTTCTATCTAACTTATACCTAGAATTTAAGGTTTTATTTAAATTAGCATAAAATGGAAATATATAACACTATTTATATAAATAAGCAGTAAACTGTGACCAAGCCATTGTGTATTTGGAGTGAATTTTATAGTACTCAAATCTATGGGATGACCTTTCATAATCTGCTAAAAAATATACTACTAACTGTACTGTAGAATATGTTTAAATCACTAAAATTTTGATATAAATTTGTGAAATAATTTACCCATTGAATTTAACAAAAATTGAAAAGTGAGGAACGCCTGAACATCATAACTTTAAAACTTTATCCAATTGTTTTGTCAACTGAAATTTCATAGTGCACAGAAAACTAAATTTGTCTGAACCCAGCCTACCTGCTTTCTAATGGCATGTGTGAGAATAAACCGGATTCTCTCAATAATCCCACTGCAGATCTCCAGTGGTGATTTTCCAGTACTGAGGTATTCTACAAAAAATAAATAAAATAAAAAAATAAATCCCAGTTATCTAATGGCAATAAATCTCTTTTTGAATATAAAGAATTATTTGGCAGTAATATTAATCTGGTTAAAATTCTAACATTCACTGAGAATATGTTAACCACTTTTCACTTCTTAAAAACATGAAACATTTTCAGGAATGCAAGAACATTAAATTTTGATAAAACTGCACTAACCTTGTATAAAGTTGCCAAGTAATGGTTAGTTTTAATAAGGAAAGGTTGATTAACACCTGGATGATCCAGATCATGAGTGGCAGCTGCAATTAAGCTCAGCAAGATATCCCAAGGAGTTACAGAGTTGGCAAGCTGAAGTTGATGAAAGAACAATGAATCACAGACATATCTGAAAAAGACTCCATACCAGGACAGTAGTTTTGAATTAGCCCCAAATGGCAGTGCGGACAGTGTCCCCCTCTGTTCTGTCTTTCAGACTATTCCCTGAGGCCACCGAGCGCCTGCCGGTGCTGCCCTCGGCATGACCGTGAGGGCGGGCACGCCGTGCCAGTGTCCCGGCCCACGTGGAGATCACGGAGCTCATCCTTACACTGCTTCATTTTAATCCAGCTTAATTAAAATGGCACTTAAAGTATAAGCCACCTTTTTGAGAAAGACAGCTTTGAAACAATAAACACAGGTTTGTGTATTTTTATTTCCCTAGCCATTACCAAACAAAGACCTATGAGATTTAAAAAAATATTTTAGTATAATCAGAGCACTTAACATGAGATCTATTCTTTTAACAGATTTTTAAGTGTGCAATACAGTTAAAGACCAGCGAGTGAGGGTGTTTATCACAAATTGTTTACTGGATTTCAATTAAGAATTTAAAATGCAAGGTTATTTCTGAGATCCTAATGTTTAAGGAGGCAACTGAGTCATCAAGGAGCAGAAGCCTACATCAAGTCTGTAATAAAGTCCTCTCCCAAGGGATGGATACGTTCAGAACAGCATACACAATCTATTCATGTCAGAAAAAGCAATGCTAATTATACCTTTTACTCCCAATAATCATTACTGCTCTTACTTGAATGATAAAAAATGATCACCTTGATCCATACATCACCTGCTTTTCATGAAACACTTTTCATTACCTTGCCAGCTTCTCCTCCCCTTCTAAGGCCCAATTCCACTGACTACCCCACCACCCTCTGTTCTCGGCCGGCAGCCCCTTCCCCAGCGACGGCTGGCTGTGTCCCTGCAGTACTTCACGTGTCCAGCCATAATGAAAGTCGGCAGAACACACCCTTGTTTAGGTAACATTAGGTCAATGCTCTCTAAACCTGTATGATCCCATGCCCTAGCAGTAAAAAAATTTGAGCATGTATCACTCATATCAATACAATTACTGATTATGATACTGAACTAACATATATTGCACATGATCTACCAAACACGAAAACAGAAAAATTTTTAAATGAGATAAAATAAATTTAGATTGGAATTTTAGTATTTTCTTTCAATGCCAGAATGAATCTTTTTCCATCCCTTGTGTCAAGTTTATCTCAGTCTGGGGAATAAAAAAAAAAAAAAAAAAAATCACTGCCTTTAGAGTCTGAATGCCCTGGGACACTGGAAAACTGTGAGCTGCCTGAAGGCAGAGAATATTTATTATTTATATTTGTACTGCCTATAATTGGTATATGGAGAAGTTCAGTAAAGGGGGAAAAGGTGGTGAAGAAAGTAATTTCCTCTTTAGGATCTGTGAAAGCATTTAAAAAATACAGATTTTTTTAAAGCACTGCTTACTGCTCAGGAGGAACAGAGGCATACTGCACAAGTGCCCCGCACATGAAGCAACTGCCCCCCAACACAGGAATGTGTGGGCATGGCTGCGGAACAAGTACTTTATTAAACAATACACAGAAGTGTTATATTCCTATGAAAACTACAACAAAGGGGACGTGGCAGAAGAATAAACATGTACCATCCTGGGAGAACCCAATAATCCAGATTTAGACTTAAATTCATGTATGATTACATGTGACATCAAACAATTTCAGATTAAACAGTGAATTATTAAATGCAGAAACATGAAAAGAAACAACTTAATTTTTAAAAGTTCTGTAAAGGGACAGTAAGTTCTAAAGTTGATTTCGCTCCTATACTCCAGATTCTTTTACCCAATTCTCTACTAGACAGATATCCATGTGGATATTGCACAACATTTAACTCCACATATTCAAAATGGAAGTCACCTCCTCTACCAGCCCTACTCCCAAACTTGCTTCTTTCCCTGCACTCTTACCTTCACAAGACTTCCACCTTCTACCCACATGCCCAAGACAGTCTTCATCAACTCCTATGCTTACTTCATTCTCCCAAATGCACTGGGACACCATATCCTAGTCATTCTGATCTCCAAGAGAACTTACAAACCATCTACCTCTCTTCTTCCCCAAAAGTGTTTGCCTTGCTTAGGCCACCATGCTCTTCCAAGGAGCACTGAAATAGCTCCTGACTGGTATTCAGGTTTCTGCTCTTGCCTGATTGATTTTTACACAAGAGCCAGAATGTATTTCCCTTCCGTGCCTCCCACTTCAAGCACTGAGTCAACCGGTCTGTCCCAGTCCTCAGGGCCTTAGTGTAAGTGCCAAGCATCCTGACAGTGCTCAAGGTTCCCTGACCTGGCCCTCGCCTGGCCTTCTCCGCCTGCTCTCTTGGCACTCACCTATTCTCCCGGTGCCGCACTTATGAAGTCTTTCCAGAAAAAGACCAGCCACTGTTAATATAACAAGAATGGTTTGTGCAACATTGATGGAACCTGGCAGCCAAGGAGAGCGGACTGAAATGCACATGTGTGAACAGTGATAACTTCACTGTACTTGTCAGTGGGGGTGGTAGACGCTATTGAGTGAGCACATGTGCTGTGTGGCCCTCACATTCAAAGTGACTGAGTGAGTAGAGCAACGAATCTGCATCAAATTTTGCATTAGGCTTGAACATTCCTCTGTGGAAACTATCTGGATGATTCAGAAGGCCGCAGCTACTGGCAACTGGTGACTGGCAGCTTCATCACAACAATGTACCTGCTCATGCCTCACAGCTCGTGCAGAGTGTTTTTGGCAAAACATCAAATCATCCAAGTGACTCACTACAGCCCAGATTTGGTGCCCTGCCACTTGTGGCTTTTCCCAAAACTAAAATCACCTTGAAAGGGAAGAGATTTCACATCCTCAATGACGAACATACGACGGGGCAGCTGATGGAGACTGGGAGAACTGTGTGAGGTCCCAAGGTAGGTACTTCGAAGGGGACTGAGGTGTCATTGTTCTATATACAATGTTTATTGTCTCTTCTTCAATAAATGTCTTTATTTTTCATATTATATGGCTGGACACCTCCTGGACAGACCTGGTACAGCCGTATGGAAAACATGATCCAGCTAGATCCCTTTCTTGTTAAGGAAACTTCTGATTTTGAGCCAAATCACTAACTTGGGAAAAAGTACTTGAAAGTAAAGCAAAGAAACTTTCCTAGGATTTTCACCTGCTGTAAATGTCCATATCTCACCTTAGGTTCTTTTAGGTAACAGTGCATGGCCTGAGTGACGTCTGCAGCGTGCACTGCGTTGTGGTACGGGTTCTGACTGTGGTAATCTTCTTGAATCATAACTGCAACACAGGAAAAAGACCCCCATTATATTGTAAATGAGAGGAATTGTGCAAATACAAAAATTGTGATAATCACAAGTTCTCCACTAACACTTTTCATGTGGCTATCAGCTAACTGTTCAGATTTAGAGAGAGATGATGACCACCTCATAATTCACATATGTAACTAAAGAATACCATTTTGATTCATAATTTGTTTGAAACTTTTATATGAGAAGGTATTTGTGTCAAAATTTTAGCCTTCAAAAAGTTTTAGCCTTCAAAAATTTAGAAAAGGACAGAGATTGTGTCTTCTTTGTCAGAGAGCTGTGGCTGCTGGAAGGGCCTGACAGCAAGCTCGTCTCAGTTCTTCACCCTGCCCTCCACGCAGGGCTCTGAGCCTTGGCGGCAGCTCCCCATCCACAGCTGCAGTTCATTTCCATCTGACCTGCTCTGGACAGGACAGGTCAGAAGTGAAGCGGGCCGTGCTGAGCCCAGGGCTCCAGGGGGCTGGTCTTGCCAGCTCTCTGCTGGAAACTGGCCACTGCTCTTTGAACAAACTCAGCGTATGAGGGGGGACCCACAAAAAACTGGAATTACCTTCTGGAGGGCGGGCCCCTTTTAGTACAGGCTTCCCCTGCTAGGTGAGTGTTCTAGGAACCTATCTGTACCGGTGTACCAGCTGCCTTTGCTGTGAGAGGCTGTGTTCAACTTCAGTGAATTTTCCTTGAAGACTCAATGCATTTGCCCATTTCATGATGGGTGATTTACAAGTCCACCTGCCCACATCTGGCTGAGCATTCAGCAGTTTTTGACCAAAAACCCCATACCCCAGTGCCCCACCCTCCCGATTCACCCAAACCTACGCCAAGTGACTTTTTTTTTGTTTCCCTGGTTGAAAAAAGTCCTCAAAGGGAAACATTTTGCCAGCCTTTAAGGAGGTGATACAAAAAAACGGCAGAAGCACTAAAAGGTATCAAAATTGATGAGTTCAAAAACTGCTTTGAGCACTGGAAAAAAACATCTCATAGATGTATTGCATCAAATGGAGAGTACTTTGAAGGCGACTGAGGTTTAAACATGTAATACACAAATTTTTATAAATTCCAGTTTTTTTGCATCCCCTCTCATATTTTAAAATAAACAAATATTTCTTTCATTTTCAATGTGAATCTAATGGTGCTGAACTCCTCCGACTTCTTTTAGTTTAATAGGAGGCCAGGCAGAATTGAGCCCAGGGCCCAGCGAGGTGAGGCCTGCAAAGGCACCTTGCAACAAACTGGTTGTCAACTGCAGGCACATTAACAAGTTCAGCCAGAAGCTGCATGTGACAGCCCCAGACTCAGGAGCTAAATAAATGTGTGTTGTTTTAAGCCATTAAATCTTGAGTGGTTTGTTAACTGATACCAATTTTTAAAAAGTTCTTGTATAACTCTTACTACTGCTAAATGGGTTAGAATCACTTACCTAAAAATCTACGAAGTTTCATCATATCTAAATGGAAGTACTCAATTAATCCATGAAGATTAAATAAATGAAAGGTTAAGCTTACTAGACTATTTCCTAAAAAAAGAGAGAGAGAAAGAGAGAGAGAGAGAGAGGCAGAGATTAGTAGCTAACATGATGGTACTGTTTTTCCAAACATGGGCTATAAATATACAACACAAAGAGTACTAATCCCTACTTTTGGTCTAAAATTTATACCTTCTTTATAGACCAGTTATGAACTTCACATATCACATCTTTTTTTACCATTATAAGAAAAACACCCTTTTGTTGTTTCATTTTTCCACAACCAAATAACTGGAAGATAAATATTTTTGAATAGACCAAAAAAAAAAAAAAAAAAAGACACCAAAATAATTAGAATCAATACAAAGCTTTGAAAATTGTCCCACACTAAGTTTAAGTCAACTTCCCAAAGCACCTTAAACATGGTTGCATTTAACTACTCCCTAAACACCCCCTCTGCCACCCTGCTTTAGCTGAACAGGGGTGTCCCAGGGCAGGGTGCTTTGGCTGCAGCGTTGTTAGGTGAAGGCTGTTTATTCTAAACAACAGGGCCAGTAGGAGGAATCAATGAGCTCCCCTCTCAAGAGCAAAACTGAACTGATTCCTTGCCTGTCTCATACTTGCAGCAGAAAATCTGAGAGTTGCTGGAAGGGGAGGGGAGAATCACAAAATTAGGCAGAATTCTATTACTATAAATTTATAGAAAATACTAGCTAGCAATCTTATTATGTTTTTCTAGTAAAATGGTTCTTTTAATTTTCAAAATGCCCATTTTCAAGCTTTCTCTACTCAAGCTTTCGACATACCTGCATCCTATTCACATCCTCAAGAGCCTCATACTTCACAGAAAAATATACAAGCCCTCAAATTCCCCTTTCTTTCAAAAGCCAATTCCTCTGCCTCTCCACAGCTTCTCAAAAGCCTTCCTTGGTCCATCACATACATCTACCAATGTGCCGCCACCACCCACAGTCCCAAAGAATCAAAATACCCCTCCCGCCTCCCGCTCCCCTCCCTATATTGTCCCAATAAGATCAGCACTCAGACACGCTCTAGAGTCTCTTCTTTGAAACAGTAAGGAATCTCCGACTCTCTTGGCTCCCTCTAGTTGCCACGCTCTACGCCCCTACTCAGCAGTTTTCTGGAAGCATTGCTACATGCTACCTGCAATGGGAATTATCTTCTCTTCAACTTCCACTCCTTTGTCATTGACAACTGGAGTCACATCAAGCATAGATATTAAATGAGGAAAAACTACCATTTTTATAATGTTTTGTTTTTCCTTCCAAGACACAACGCTCTCCATTTTTTATACCTTCCATTATATTTCTCAACATTTTGAAGATTTCCCATATGCTATACTATTTTAAAAATTAAATAGACTACATATTTAAAGGGGTATGAACTGCCAACGTCAGGATAATAACAGTAACATAAACACAATTCTAGTATCCTCTTAAAAATTTATGATTCTTATAAAAATGAATAAAAGACCAAACTAGTCCCACCATAAACATTTTTAGTGATATTTATGAAGAATTATAAAGGACTACTGGGCTAAGCTCATAACCTAAAACTGACTAAACAACTGTCAACAGAAGCCCATGGCTGAGGGAAAAAGTAAATTAATTAGAAGAACATTTACATGGGCAACACTGTAAAAAATGTGGCAGCCCAAAGAGATTCTTTTTAAAAACTACCAGACATACATTTGACCTTCAAAAGGGAAAAAGAAAATTCAAATGTTTTATTTTTATGAAATTAAATGTTAAAATGCATTCAAATCCTAATTACATTCTATTGGTAAAAACATGAGCCCATGTGATTTGGAAACATTTGTGAAAGAGTGAGCTATATTTCTGTTATTACTGTTGTAACAGCCGACTTTTCTTTGGGTATATTCATAAATATTTCAGAATGTATATTCAAATAAACTATCCAATTAAAAAATGGGCAGATGATCTGAACAGACGTTTTTTCCGTCTGACATACAAATTGCCAGTAGGCACATGAAAAGATGCTCAACATCACTTATCATCAGCGAAATGCAAATCACAATGAGATATCACCTCATACCGGTTAGAATGGAGATGATCAAAAGGACAAGAAATATTGTTGATGAGAGTGTGGAGAAATGTGAGCCCTTGGACACTGTGGAAATGTAAATTGGTGCAGACACTATGAAGAACAGTGTGGAGGTGCCTCAAAAAATTAAAAACAGAATTACCATGTGATTTGCCAATTCAATTTTGGGTTATTTTTCTGAAGAAATTCAAAACACTAACTTTGAAAAGATATAGGCACCTCAGTGCTCACTGTGGCATTATTTGCAACAGCCAAGATATGGAAGCAACCCCAGTGTCTGTGGCTGCATGAATGGATCAAGAAAATGTGATATAAGTTTGCACGCAATATTACTGAAATAATATGAAAAATGGAAGATTATTCATCCATAAAAAAAGAAAATCTTGATTTATTGATGACAGTCATTCTGATAGGTGTGAGGTGACATCTCACTGTGGTTTTACTTCACAGATGACTAGTGATGTTGAGCATCTTTTCATATGCCTGTTGACCATGTGTATGTCCTCTTTGGAGAAGTGTCTATTCAAGTCCTCTGAACATTTTTTAAATTGAATTGTTCATTTTTTTGGTGTTGAGTTTACATATTCTTTATACATTTTGGATATTAACCCCTTATCAGATATATCATTGGCTAATGTGTTCTCCCATTCAGTGAGTTGTCTTTTTATTTGGTTGATGGTTTCCTTTGCTGTGCAAAATTTTTTTAATTTGATGTAGTCCCATTTTCTCATTTTTTGTTTTCCTTGCCCAAGGAGATATGTCAGTAAAAATACTGCTACAAGAAATGTCCAAGATTTTACTGCCTATGTATTCTTCTAAGTTTTTATGGTTTTGAGTCTAACATTTAAGTTTTAAATCCACTTTGAGTTTATTGTATATGGTGTAAAAAGGTAGTCTTTGTTTATTTTTTGTACATATCTAATTTTCCCAACACCATTTATTGAACAGACCAGCTTTACCCCATTGTATGTTCTTGCCTTCTTGCCTTCTTTGTCAAATATTAGTTGACTACAAAGGCATGGGTTTATTCTGGGCTCTCTATTCTGTGTCTTTGATCTATACGTCAACAAACAACAAGTGTTGGCAAGCATGTGGAGAGAGGGGAACCTCGTGCAATGTTGGTGGAAACGTAGACTGGTGCAGCCACTGTGGAAAGGAGTATGGAGATACTTCAAAACACTGAAAATGGAACTGCCTATTTTCCATTCCACTTCTGGGAATGTTATACGAAGAAACCCGAAACACTGATTCGAAGAATATAGCAGTGTTATTTACAATAGCCAAGATCTGGAATCAGCCCAAGTGCCCATCTGATGAGTGAACAAAAAGGCTGTGGTACATTTACACGATGGAATACTACTTGGTTGTAAAAAGAAGGAAATCTTACCTTTTGCAACAGCATGGATGGACCTGGAGAGTATTATGCTAAGTGAAATAAGCCAGTCAGAGAAAGACAAGTTCCATATGATTTCAATTATATGTGGAATCTAATCAACAAAATAGACTAACAAAGTAGAAACAGGCTCATAGATACAGAGAACAGACTGACAGCTGTCAGAGGAGAGGGGGGATGGGAGGATGGGTGAAAAAAATGTGAAGGGATTAAGCAAAAAACAAACAACAACAAAAAACTAGACACAGACAACAGTATGGTGATTCCCAGAGGGAAAGGGGAGTGCGGGGAGGTACAGGGGGTAAAGGGGGATAAACGGTGATGGGAGGAGACTTGGCTTAGGGTGGTGACCACACAATAAACAGATGATGTGTTACAGAATTGTACCCCTAAAACCTATCTGACTTTATTAACCAACATCACCCTAATAAATTCAACTAAAAAAATAAAACAGAAAGAAGAAAATGTTGCCATTTGCATATGAACTTTGAGAGCATGCTAAGTGAAATAAGTCAGAGAAAGACAAATGAGATATAATCTCACTTATACACAGAATCTAAAAACAAAAGCTGAGCTAATAGATACAAAGAACAGATTGTGCTTGTCACAGGCAGGGTTGGGGGTGGACAAAAATGGGTGAAGGGGGTCAAAAGGTACAAACTTCCAGCTGTGAAATAAATGTATAAATAAGTCCTGGGATGGAATATACAGCATGGTGACTATAGTCAATAATACTGTACTGCATATTTAAGGATTGCTAAGAGAATAAATCTTAAAAGTTTTTGTCACAGGAAAAAAAACTGTAACAACGTATGGTGACATGTTAACTAGACTTACTGTGGTAATTATTTTGCAATATTTACACATATCATATTATACACCTGAAGCTAGTATGTCAATTATACCTCAATTTTTAAAAATGTATATTCATTCTGTATATTTAAATTATGATAGTGTTCTCCCCAAATCATTTTCCTAACCTAATGAAACAAATGATCAGTTTCTACAGTCTAAAGAAGTTCCGGGAAAGCTGCTATCCAATGGTGAAATACCCTCGCCTGGAGTTCGGGCACGCTGCAGTCAGAAACATGGCAATTCCTTCTACCAAGACCTTCGCGGGACTCTCACAAGAACCAATCTGTTAAAACGCGCTACCTAGATTGAATTGAAAAACTGCATGGAACATTTTTTTTTCTCAGTTTAAATTCATAAGATAGCAACTAGGTTAATACCGGTGAAAAAGAACACAGTTCAATGAAAACTTTCAAAACAAGTGAAGCATAGTTGGTGTGTTAAACAAGAAACAGGCATAGAAGAACTTACTTTATGTGAAAATGGAAAGACTTCTGTGGAAAAAAACTGTACTTATGAAAAAGCTGCCCTCAAAAACATACTATCAAAGGACAGAGCTGCCCAAGGTAGAGTGGTCCCTGAAAGATTACGGAATGTGATTCAGGCGGGAGCTGACTGGGTTATGCTACCCCAGGACACAGGCCTTGTGACGAGGGTCCCTACAACACGCCAGGTGCTTTCAGGGATGATAAGGCATGTCTTGCTATCTCATATAACCTAACTCTCATTCCTGTAAAGGGAATATCAAGTGTATCCTACCAGACAATAACTACTTTCTTCCTTGCAGCAGAAAAGCCAGGGATCATTTGTCTTGGTGGCTATCACTGAATTTTGCCTTCTCCCTGCCTTCCTCACAATAGTATTTGGGACATTACCAGAGTAAGAAATACAGAAAGCACAGGATCAATGCAAGAAGGGAAAACTATTCACTTGAATACTGTGTACATATATCATCCAGAATTCATGTCAGGCTAAGCAGTTTTGAAAGGAAAGCAGTGCTAATTAAATAATTCAAGTTAAAGGAATTTTCTTCTGATTTGTTTCCCAATAATCTCTCTTCCTGTATATAATTACTGTAATGTTTGGGTAGCTGTAGTTAGCTGAATATATACAAGGTCTGTCTGGAAAGAGTCCAGCCACTGTTAATATAATGAGAACAGTTTGCGCAACATCAATGTAACCTGGCATCCAAGGGAGTGGACTGGAGTGCCCATGTGTGAACAATGACGACTTCACTGTACTAGTCAGTGGGGACTGTAGGGGCCGTTGAGCACATGTACCGTGTGGCTGTTGTATTCAAATGACTAAACAAGTAGAGCAATGAATTTGCATCAAATTTTGCATTAAGCTTCAACACTCCTCTGCAGAAACTACTGGGATGATTCAGGAGGCTGTAGCTATGGGAAACCGGTGATTGGCAGCTTCATCATGACAACATATCTGCTCATGCCTCACAGCTCGTGGAGTTTTTTGGCAAAACGTAAAATCACCCAGGTGACTTAGCCCCGCTTCAGCCCAGATTTGGCGCCCTGTGACTTCTGGCTTTTCCCAAAACTAAAATCACCTTTGAAAGAGAAGAGATTTCAGACCCTCGATGAGATTTGGGAAAATACAATGGGGCAGCTGACGGTGATTGGGAGAACTGTGTGAGACCCCAAGGTGCCTACTTTGAAGGGGTCTGAGGCGGCACTGTCCTACGTACAATGTTTCTTGTATCTTGTATCTTCTTTAGTAAATGTCTCTTTTTCACACTACATGGCTGGATACCTTCTGGACAGACCTTGTATCACCATCTGTAAAATCATACTTGGGTAGCTAACCATGGGTGGTTTCTACTAATTCCTAATAATCCATCCTAAGAAGAAACCATTCAGCCATCTTCTCCACAACAGGAGTAAGGAGATTAAACGGAGAACAAAACGCTAACCTAGCTAATGTGGACTCAGTGGGCTTGTCCTTCTGCCGCCTTCTCTTAACCTCATTCCATGTTCATCACCAAGCCCCCTGACGAGCACTTTCAAAAAATAAAATTTAAAGAACAGTCAACTAATTTCAATCAGTGACATATGTCTCAATAGACTAAAAATAGGCTGTGAACTGTTAGAACTTAGAGTTTTATAAGGCTGAATCTTGAAGGTATTAAGCAGGACATTATGTTTTCCATATTATCTTGAGGTAACCAGAAATACTCTGCTGAGGTAGGAAAGGGGTCTTTCCCGGATCTAGGAGAAGCGGAGCCACTTCATACTTCACTACCTGCATTCTCACAACGGGGAGGCTGAAGGGAAGGGCTACTATTGAAAGGATACAAGCCTTTCCCGTGTGGACAGTGCCATGTGGGGGAAAACGACAGCGGGGACAGAAATGGAAAAAGGGAAAACAAAAAGTCAGGGAAGTGGGAGGGAGGCTTTGCTGATAAGGCAAACCTCGTTGTCTTTACAGTTGTGCTATTTTCTGTCAACAGTCGCTAGATACACCGAAGGTGATTACAAAGGTGAATGCACAGTGCGTGCAGCACAGCTCCGAGGGAATGATGGGGTGACAGTAGAAAGCCAGACTCACACGGGTCCTCCACATGAATAAAGCTGTATTTGCTTGTTCATTTTCCATTTTTGGCTTCCTTATGAAAGGAACGTCATTCCAAAGTAAAAAAAAAAAAAAAGGAGGGTGATTTCAGAGTCTAACAGTGAACATGTAGTCCCTTCATTCTGAACAGTTAGGATTGGCTTCCTCAAGTATATTCTCTACTCTGCTTCAGTTATTAAAAACATACTTAGACACAAGGGACAAAGTCTAGTTGAACTACATGTAGCACCAATTTTTTATGCCAAAAAATTTACCCTAAATAAAACTAAATAAAATTTACCCAAAGGGAATCTGTTCCCAAAGAGAATAAGCAAACATGAACCCTCCCCCAAAACAACACACTCAGGAAAGGGTGAATGGAGCAGAGTCACCTGTTTTTTTTCAAACCACTCATACACTGTAGATTCTGACAAGGCCCCTTAAAGACGTTCCAGCTCTTCCCCACCCACCCTGGAAGGGCAGTGCGGGGGGACCACTGCTGCTGATCACAATACGCCGTATCTCTCACGTCTGCAGAGAAAGAAAAGCCTAAGAACCGCAAAGTTTGAAGAAAGAATGTCTCTCGGAAGGTCAGTAATCTACCACATATCTGTAGCTATCAAAGCTGGAACACGGTATCAGAACATGTCACTGGGAATGGCCACAATCCAAAGAAAACCAAAAAGGAAAAATCAAGAACATAAGATAACAACATTCACTTGGGGTTATCAATAATAGTAGCCTTAAGGAGGGATGGCCAAGTGTGGGCAATTGATTTTTTGATTCCTGCTAGGAGTACTAACGCAAAACTACATTTATGAGATTGACTCTCCAGGCTTACAGATCAGTCATAAAGAAAAGACAAAACACCGCTCCCCTGCCAGCAGAGGGCTCCTAACCTAAGTGAATGAAGCAGCAACCCACCAGTGGCTGTACCACCAATGCAGCATCTAGAGAACACATTAATTTGAGTAAGTCAAATTCTTCACTTACCATTTGTTAGTCTATCAAATAGAAAGATATCAAAATTCCAATTTCCAACTTTTCCCAGCATACACTGAAATGAAAACCAAACATTCCTACTGTAATTTAATTTCAATAACACTCTCTATCTTTTGTAGATGGTTCATAGAGAAGTTAATGAAAATGAAAAGTGATTTATTGTAAGAAATGCTATATACCATTGTCCTTTTAATCATGAGCTTTCCAACTAGCTCCAAAAAATGTCTAAAGAGATAAACTCTATTTGAAAAGCCAAATATTATTTGGTTTTCCAATTAATAAATGTACAGGTAAGGTTAGTGTTTTTTTTAAACTTATTCCTATACTTAACAAACTTTGAAGAATTCTAACATAATATAATATCATAGAAGTGTGGTTCATATGGTGCATGGTCTAGAAACTAGACTTAAAAAATCCAGTACAATAAGTTATAATAACTACTATATTCCAGGTACTGTCAAAAGTGTTTTATTCACTCTTAGTATTGACACCAACACTATCAAGCAGGCGCTGCTTTCAATCCTCAATTACAGATGGAGAAACAAAGAAAAAGTAACTTGCCCAGCTAGAAAGTAATAGGGCTGGGGTCTTAAACCAGGTGCCCCAATTCTGAAACCTAGGCACCTGACACATATACCTTGCTATGCTTAAATTATGATATTTAATTTTCTTTTAGAAAACACTCTCAACTTATGGGTATTTATTTATATTTGTTAAATACCCTTATAAAATAATAGCATTTACTACATTAATTTTTAGATTGATGTGAATTTCAGCCAAGCAAATAAAACCACAATGACCTTAAAAACCAAATAGATTGTATTTTTACAATACACATTTGTAACTTAAAAATTCTGTGGACTTTATTTTTAAGAAAAAAAATTTATTTTCTTTCCAAAAGTTCACTGTTGTATAAATTTATGGACAGATCAACATAAGCAATACTAAGACACTACTAGTAGAAATTAATTATGATATTACTAACAACCATCGTATGCAAATCAATATTTTCATTCTAAAGAGAAGACCCTGTGAAATTTTTAAAATTTAAAGAAAGCATGAACAGTCTCCACTGATTTCTTTTATCAAACAGGGACGCAAGTTTTTTTCACTTTAACGTCATCATAAAGGTACTCCAGTCCTATCTATACAAACTTACAAAGTCTGGTCTATAAATATTAAGTCAAAGAATATTTTTTTCAAAGAATATTTTTAAAAATATAGAAATGTAAGATTATTAAAAATACTCAAGATCATCTAACTTCCACCTTCATTAAGACATTTCTTTTAAGCTATGTAGAGAAAATAATGCTCACAACTTACTGGGTGAAATTAAGAAATACCTAAATCCTCAAAATATCACACTGATGCAAGAGACGTTGAAAATCATTTGATTCAAAGTCATAAGACTTAAATTTGTGTGCTGGCTGACCTCTAATTAGAACTCAAACTAGTACCTTTTACTTTTTAGCCCACAGCTCCCTTATCTGTTAAATACAGAAATTAGATAAAATAATCCATAATATTCTTCTCAAAATTAAGAGCTGTGTGGTCTTACAGTTTAATATTTTATTGTTTACTTGTTACTTAATGTTATAATAAATAACAACATTTTCATTTAGTTACTTCATAAATTTGCCTTGCTCTATAACACCTAATCATAAAATGAGCAACCGCTCTAAAGGAAAAATCTGAAAAATGAGCTCAACTCATTTTCGCATTAAAAAAGAACCCCTATACATCAGCTATAAGATGGGAAAAGAAGGCTTCACTAAACTTATCAAAAAGTTAACATTTCTTGAAAAAGCTATACACACCTTGGCTTGTCCATTATAATCATCATCTAAAATGTTTAGAGAATTTGAAACAGTAGTACCACGAAAGAAGCGCGAGGATCTAAGATATCGCTGGAAACTTAGTAACCTTCTGATATTCCTCGCAGACACAGAAACTTCAACTTCAGACGGAGCTGAAAGGAAAGGAGTACAAGGTGAGTACAGCAGGTCAAAACTGCATATACTAGCTTGTAATACCCCTTTTCTATTACATACAAATATATTTTAAATTAATCATTGTATCACATTTCTAAGAGAGAAGAGGTACTTTATTTGTATTCCTATTAAGGAATTAAAATGAAGGGATAAATGGCCAATTATGACAAGCTTTTTTTTTTTAACCTTCAAGAATTATCATTTCTCACTCTATTGCTGCGATACACTATACACACATTACAGAGCAGAAAGACAAAATCTAGTGTGAAACCATCCTTCATATTGAGGAGCCAGGTCCCACGTTTCATTTGAGACTTTGGCATTTACACTACTAAAGCATCTCATATACTAATAAGGTATCATTTCAAATGTTTCCTTAAGGTAATTTTATTTAGAGGAAAAGGAAATGCAATTGAAAAATAAAGCAGCTTACATCCTGTAAGAGTTCTAAAGGATAGGAATAAAAATTCTGTAAGGTGAAAAACTTTAGAAAAGACGTGGTTCCGTGGTACAGACTAGTATGTTCTCTGTCAGTAAGTCTGACTGCCATTTTCCTCCTAGTGTTAGATTAAATCAAAGTTTCTTTGAGCTACAGATGAAATAATAGACTTACATTAAAAACTATCTTTTAGGAACATAAGTTATCTTTAAATTCTAAGTCCAGTGAAATGCTCCGAATATAAAATACATAAAAATAAAAACCAAAGATGAGCAAATCATAATATCTCAAAATGGCAGGTAATCAAACATACTCTCTCATGTGTTCAGTCACTAATTCCTCTATTACCCCGTGTTTTCTTACCTAGAAAATAATGGCAATACTATTTAACTCCAAAGGTGTTGAATTAACTGAGATAACGTGTACACAGTCAAATGTACAGTAGGTATTGAATACAGTGGCAATGCAGATGATGATAAAATTGACGCTGATGCCAGTGCTGCAGCTATGCTTCCAGGTAATTAGACTAATTTCCAAATCTGTTCATGTTGCTCTAAATAAAAGTATCCTGTGGCTCCTAATTACCTTAAAATGAACTCCGTCTCCTTAGCCTGGAAGAAAAGAATCCATGTTCCAGGGTCTGGCTCGCTCCAGACTCGACTCAGCTGTCACCTCACCTGGGAAGCACACCTGAACCCCCACCTATGAGCACTTCCCTTCTAAGAGAGATGGGAAGAACCTTCTCGGAATTGTCAAAATTCCCTTGCTCACACCTATCAGAGTGCTTCTGATATCACATTGTAATTGTTTATTTACCTGTCTCCTTCAACAAGTGATGACCTCCAACACAGCACAAGCTATTTTTTCATCTCTGTACTCCAAAGTTGAGTAACAGTGCCATGTAGGTATATGTAAAATATACCGATAAATGTTAAATAAATGTATACTGTTCTCAAAATATCTGATGAGTTCTGACGTTCCTGCATACTCACATAAGCCAAAGATAAAATAACGAGCACCGTTACGTGGTTTACTCTCCTTGTTTTTCATTCCAGTGAGTTTAAAATTGAAAGTATCCAGAACAATTGTTGAGTTAAATTTTGATCTTTAACAACGTAACTCACATTAAAAGGTCTGGAACCAAAATGTACAGCTATTAATATCAGGCAATTATGTTTGACCTAGAATTAGTATGTTTGAGGAAATGAAAATAGTGTGCCAAGTGCTTTACAAGATGTACCTCATTTAGACTTCAACAATCTCAAAATATTACCTTCCATTTTATACATGAGAACACTGAATCTACAAGAAGTTAATAAACCTGCGCAAGGTCACAGAGCCAATACGGGATAACAACTAGATTTTGAAACAGATCTGTCTGTATGCAAAGCCTGTGTCCACAGTATTACTCATAAGTTTTTCTATATAGCTCTACCGCATTGTTCGTTAAGTGTTTATTATAAAAATTCTGTGTACACTATTATTCAAAATTGTCCTTATTTAGATGAAAGTATGTATAAAAAGAAACAGAAAGAAAAAGCTGATGTACGGGAATGCAAGTACTTCATGTGACCCTTTTAGTATTCCTCCTAGAAAAGAGTAGATCTGGAAGGGACAGTGTGGAATGACAGGAATATTTGGGGAGAAGATGAGATCTAATTTATATAATACTAGTACCACCATTTCTGAATTTATAAGGTGCTTTATAGTTTTACACAATGTTGCAAAGCACACACAGTTTATTCATTATGAAAAAGTAACCTAAAAGAGTTCAAGGCCATAAGCATGACTTCATGAGCATCTTTTAATTTCTCTTACACACAGAAGGTAAGAATTTTATCACTAGCAGTTATATCACATTGTGTGCACAGGTGCATGTACACTAATTGTAGGATCACTGCTTTCAAATTACATGTCCAAGCTAATGCACCTTCAAGTAAATTTGAGAATCTCTTTGGGAGGATAACTGCATAAGATCCAAAGGAAAAAAAAATGAGCCTCATTTGGGGGTTAAACCCCAACAACTCAATCCACCATGCCACGTCCTTGTAACAACATGGCAGGACCCACACGTCAGTGGGTAAGACAGCTGGCATTGTCTGGAAGACAGTACTCCTCCCACAAAATCATGGTTGTGTCCTTCCCCCGCCTACTCCTGTTTTCTGGGTGACTTATGGCAAGTCACAACTTCCCGCTGTCTCATTTTCTTTAACTGGAAAAAAAAAAAACCAAGCATAATTCATGTCTTTTTTTCTCTTTCACAGAGCCGTGAGGTTGGAACTCATTATCAAGGGCTCTGTTTTGAGAATGAATATTAGACATTAACTCAAGGGGCAAGGCTCAGTCATCATAGGAGCCCAATTCTTCCAACAAGACTAATTCGAAAAATAACCTACACAACAGGATCACAAACAGACTTTCACTTAATGCTAGAACTGGCCTTAATGATTAGTGATTATTTCACAGACAATCTAAGAAAGGACAGAGTTTCATCTAGATGACATTGAAAATCATCTACAGAAGTGTTTTCTTCAGCCAGACACCCTGGGGAGCCTATACCTAAAAAGATTACATTCTGGAAAAAGCTAAAAATCCCATGAGGACCTGCAAAGATGACAAATAAACTACCTCAAAGCACTGCCGAAGACTTAATACAGGACAGAACCTGGAGGGGAGGGAGGTATATTTGATTTTTTCCACCATTCTAATTTCTGAGTATGGAACACACTGCCATGTGTCAAAAATGAAAGCAAGAAGGGAAGGAGGGAGGAAGAACACAGTAAAAAACCTCACCCCTATCAGGTCCCCCAACTGACTGACTGTAAGCCCTCCCCTAAAATAACAACTTTTTCTTAAAGTTTCTGGTGTATCCTCCCTGAGTTTTTTGATCAAATATATGGGAACACCATTACATATTATTTTTCTACTTCTTTTACATAAATGGTAACATAGTATACAACCTGTTCTGCATCTTGCTTTTTAATTTATCTTGGAGTTATTTCCCTATCAGTACCTTCCTCCTTCTAAAACTGTAAGTTTTATTCAACCAGACCTCTACTGAAGGGCACTGCTATTTTACAATTTGCAAAAATACCTTCATTTTGTGAAATATGCTTATATTTCCACTACTTGTTCAAAAGCTTTTAGATATCATTTATTTTTTTGTTAATACTCATGAGAAAATCACCTTATATCCCATCTTCTTTCCCTTTTCCTCTTCCAACATTTGTTAGTTAACAAAGCACTTTTTTCCCCTCTCACACTAATCCCCATTTAATTTTAGGTTCAGCTCTAGAATTAAATATATTCAATATCTGAGTCCTTTTACCATGGCTTCCCAGTTATCCTTTGTTTGCTTAGGTTCAGGTTCACCCTTTAATAGTTTCCTCAAAAAGATTTCATGAAAATAGCGTATCTCATAAACAATATATTCTTGAATGTTCAAAACTTTTCTTGGTAGTCTCTGTACTTGAAGGACAGACTAAATATAATATTTAATATAAAATTCATGGCTCTCACTTTTCTTCCTTGAATTTATTTAAAGGTTTTGGTTCATTGTCTTCTCTTACTGAGGTTTGTAAAATCTGAGGCAAACCCATTATTTTCCCCTCGTAAGTGACTTGATCTTTCTGTACAGCATCCTACAGAATATCTCCTTGTCTTTCAAGTCCAATGACTTTGCTAGGATAGACCTCATGTTAACCATTCTGGGTCATTATCTCATGGTAATTGGTGTGCTCTTTCAACATGTAAATTTAAATCTTCTGTTACTTATGAAAAGTTTTCTTGAAATATATCCCTAAATAATTATTATGTTCCACTATTTCAGCTTTATTATTTAGAGACTCTAAAGCGTTATTCTGAAACACCTCGTCTGTCTGCTATACTGCACAGATATTCTCCCCACATTTGTTGAACTCAGTGGAACCTTGGTTCTCAAAATTAATTTGTTCTGGAAAACTGTTTGAGAAGTAATTTGTTTGAAAACAGAATCTCCTTTGTTTGTCACCTGACATGTGACTGATCATACAGGTATCAGCATGAAACGGTTATCAGGTAGAAAATCGAGACCTTAAGTTTTGTTAGACAACTGAGACATTATTTCCATAAGCAATTTGTTCAAGAGCCAAGGCGTTCAAGAATCGAGGTTTGACTGTTTGTTTTGTTTTGTTTTGTTTCTGTTCACTATGCTTGTTATCTTTAGTGCATATTCTACCTTGTATTCCTGCCAAGTGTCCTCATTTAAGATACATTAAAAAAATAGTAGTTTGCTCCTATTTCCTGATTCTGAATGCACATGTCTAAACTATTTTTGTTGTCTTACTATCTTTTCCCTGAGTTCTTGCAGTTGTGCTTTACAATGAAGTTATTTGCTTCATTTAGTTTGTAATGTGAGCAGTAGAAAATTTGGTCACAATTTTCATCAGTTTGATGGCAACATTTTTCGGTGAAGTGCTTTTCAATCGTTGTTAAGTCCTGCTGCTCCCTTCCACTGTCCTGCCAGATTACCTGACGTGGCGTTACGGAATGGGCCGAGTT